CTGAAAGCTCAAGTGAGCGTTTCTGATCACCCATTGTGCATATTCTGCCCTTCTGTCTGTAAACTTTTCACAGTTTCAACTTCTCAAGAGCCACTGGGCCAAATTTAACTAAACTTGGTTAAGGTAATCCGATCCTCAGGTTTATAAAATTAGCAGTTTAAGAAATCAAAAATACTCATAAAAGTTTCTCTGAATCCACAAAGTTATGTAAATTTATCCACAGTATTTCTTTAAAGTTAAGTTTAATATGTCATATTATGAAGGGAAAATTGTCAAATCTCCAATATTTTTGCAGAAAAAGCGAATTGGAATATCAGCAATGCATTTTCTGATTGCAAATTGATCAACAATTTTATTTTAGGTCAAAAAACGATAGGTATCCAGGCATTCAGAGAAATTGTCGTGATTTTTATACTTATTTGGTATTTTTTGTCTTCTATTCCCGCCATGTATTCTATAATACATAGTGTAAAAGGCTTTTGCTATCATTGCAGGACACCACGTATCACTTCTTATTTCATATTATGCTAATAAGCATTGGTATCTAAGGCTGGATTCAAGAAAATCTTATTTCTCTAAAACTGTATTAATTTTTTTTTCCTTTTATAGGGTACAAATGTCAACTTTTATAAGACCTTTTCTAAGACTTCCAAAAACCTTGAATCGTATAAAGATGAATAAAATGAAAATTGTTGCATGAAAAAAAATTCATTTCCAAACTTCATTTTGATGCATTTCAAATTAAATATTAATTTTTGGAGTTACCTTCAAGACTGAGGATCGGATATCCTTAACACATCTTTGGGTGAAGGGGAGTTTAAATTGTAAAAATGAAGGGCCAAGTCCCCTTACAAGGGGAGATAATCAGAAAAGACAAAAATATGGTGGGGTCTTTAAAAAATCTTCTCAAGAACCATTTTGTTCATATCATGACCTGGGGAAGGGAGGGGCCACATTGGAGGATTTAATTTTACAAAGGAATTTATTGGGTAAAAATCTTTTAATTAAAAATCTCCTCAGCAAAGTTATTTGAATTATGTATATGGAGGTATCCTTAAGTAGTATAACCCCCCCCCCCCCCCCCCCCGTAAACTTTTCAATACTTAACTGATTTGTGTTCAATACTGAACTGATTTGTGCTTTACCTAGCCAATGAGCTCAGGTAAGCGATGTGACCCATGGACCTCTTGTACATTGACCATGAGTAGTGTTTAGCATCAAACAACTGCAAATGTTTATGAACTCTTGGATAATAGAAAATGAATTTTGTACTTCACTGGCTGGTTTCAGCAGTGTTGGAAATTTACTGAAACAAAAATCGGTCATTTTAAAAATGGACACTTTTCTTACTGAAGCAGAGTAGAAAAATATATGCATGGTGACTTAAGGATGAGGTTTCAGAGGACAGAGAGGAAATTTTATAAAAATAAAAATGAATTATAGTTGAATTTTCAATGTCTTAATTTGTTTAATTAAAAACATGAGAAATGTTGGTGATTGGATGTCAGTTATTATGATGATCTGTTTATAATAATACTGGTAGTTGCTTTTCAGTAGGAGTATCTTAATTAATATTTTAATGCTGCTATTCACAAATAAGATGTTTAGTCATAATTAATATATTATTTGTTTATAGCTAGTATTAATTTATTTTGAATGAATAAGTTGTATTATTTTAATTATTAGATAATTGTTGATTCATATGTATTTAAAATTGATCATGAAATAAACCCACTATGTGAATATGAAATTATGGATATCGATTAGATTTAGAATATCATTCAAAATTCTGAAATTTAAGTATAACTGTACAGTGGGTCAAGCACTAGAATATTTAACTGAACTTTTGACAAAACAAAGTTTAAGTAAAAAATTATGCTCTTCTTGAAATTCCGAAAGTTGACTGTAGTCTGATTCAATTTGTTCAATAAAAGGAAAACTTTCCTTGATTGAAGTTTTAGTACCATCAGACCAAAATTGTGGAATGAACTGCCCTAGTATATTAAACAATTAAAATCAACTGATATTTTCAAAAACAACTTAAAAACTTACTTCTTCAGGAACTTTAATCAAAGAAATCAGTTTTAGTGAATATGTACCTCTACTGAACTAAAACTCCTGAAACACAAAAAATTACCTGATTGTCCATTTGCCATGTGTTGTGCCATGTTGTATGTAAACAGTTTCAGCTAATCATGAATTCTGGATTAGAATCACTTGGCAAAGAATGGGTGGACTTTAAACGCCCTATTTTGAATCTTTTTGAGAGTAAAAGAAATGAATACAAAATATTTTACAAGCAATTGAAAGAGCTACATATACTTGGTTAAACCATATACATGTAAGTGGAAATTTTAGCGAGACACAAATTTAGCAATTGTACTTAACAAGAGGCCCAAGGGCCTTGAATCGCTCCTCTGATAAATTGTACAATCTATCACTTCTATTAGAAGCCTCCAACTCTATTAGTATCATAAGACCCAAAATGCATCAACTTACAAAGTTTGATAATATTTAGCCAGTTAAGACTGAAGATATTATAATATAATTATAAAATACCATAAGTAGGTCACAGTGATTGAAATTTTCTGAGGACTCAAGATACATTAATTGAGAAAGACTGATGATTCTAATTAAATAAGTACCTGAGATATTCAAAGGTATGTCATCATGACCTACTTTTGGTCAACATTCTCTGAAAACCCAAGATGCATCATCTGTCAAAGATTGGCGATTCTAAGCCAATTAGTACCAGAGATAAATAAATATTGCCATCAAATGTCAAAAGTAGGTCACGGTGACCTACTTTTTGGTCGACATTATCAAAAAACCCAAGATGCCTAAACTGACAAAATTTTATGATTCTAAGCCATTAAGTACCTGAGACATTCAAAAGTAGGTCACCGTGACCTACTTCTTGTTGGACATTGAATGAAACTGTAAGATGCCTCAACTGACAAAGTTTGATGATTCCAAGCCAATAAGTACCAGATATCATTAAATATAGCCATAGAATGTCAAAAGTAGGTCACTGTGACCTACTTTTTGGTTGACATTCTCCAAAACCCAAGGTGCCTAAACTGACAAAGTTTGATGATTCTAAGCTAATACATACCTGAGATATTCAAAAGTAGGTCACCGTGACCTACTTTTTAGTCGACATTCTTCGAAAACCTAAGATGCCTCAACTGAGAAAGTTTGATGATTCTTAGCCAATAAGCACCTGAGATACTTAAATATAGCCATAAAATGTCAAAAGTAGGTCACTGTGACCTACTTTTTGGTCTACAATCTCCAAAAACCCAAGATGCATCAACTGACAAAGTTTGATGATTTTAGGTCAATAAATACCAGAGATTTTTAATTATAGCCACAAAATGTCAAAGTAGGTCACCATGACCTACTTTTTGGTGGTCACTCTCCGAAAACCCAAGATGCATCAACTCACAAAGTTTGATGATTCTAAGCCAATAAGTAGCGGATATACTAAAATAAAGCCATAAAATGTCAAAAGTAGGTCACCATGACATAATTTTTGGTCGTCACTCTCCGAAAACCCAAGATGCATCAACTCACAAAGTTTGATGATTCTAAGCCAATAAGTACAGGAGATACTTAAATCAAGCCATAAAATGTCAAAAGTAGGTCACCATGACCTACCTTTTGGTCGTCACTCTTCAAAAACCAAACATGCATCCACTCACAAAGTTTGATGATTCTAAGCCAATAAATACCTAAGATACTTAAATATAGCCATAAAATGTCGAAAGTAGGTCATCGTTACCTACATTTTGGTCGACATTTTTCAAAGACCCAAGATGCATCTACTGACCAACTTTGATGATCGTAGGTCTGAAGGTAATCAAAATATGCATTTTAAACAATTTGAAAACAAATGTCGGCAAAATTCAAAAAGTAGGTCACAGTGACCTACTTTTTCATAAATATCTTTTAAGGTCCCAAAATGCATCAAAGTACAAGATTTGATGATTCTAAACCTCCCAGTGTCTGAAGTAATGGGATTTAATGTTTTTAAAAGGATAAGTCATCAAGTTCAAAAAGTAGGTCACGGTGACCTACTTTTAAGTCAATAAGTACCAGAAGTAATTAAAAAGCATCAACTGACAAAGTTTGATGATCATAGGCCTTAAAGTGTCCAAAATATGCCTTCAAATCAATTTGGAAACAAATCCCCACAAAATTTAAAAAGTAGGTCACCGTGACCTACTTTTGAGCTAACATGATGTGAAGTCGTAAGATGCATCAACTCACACAGATTTGATGATCCTAGTCCTTATAGTAAGCAAAATATACACGTTTTTATTAATTGTAAATTTAGGTCAACTTTGAAGTGACCTTGAGACCACGCCCTTTGCCCCAGGGTAATTCCCCATGCAAATTTTAATCTCCGTCATATCCTGATCCTTGTATGTAAGTTTGGTGAAAATCTGCCTGGTGGTTATGGAGAAGAAGATTTTTTAGCAACCAGTACTTTTGGTTTTGTTTTCCTGATTATCTACCCTTGTTTAAGGGTCCCAACCCTTATTTTAGTATAAATGGTAGCCCTTGGGCCAAGGATACCCTGTGACAAATTTGGTACTGATTGGCCAAGGGGTTCTTGAGTTATGGCCCATATTCTGAAAAGTTTACTCACACCGCACACCACACAAATGGCTATAGCATTAGCTCTTTGAGCCTTTGGCTCAGAAGAGCTAAAAATCGATACTTTATTTTTAGCGAGAAGTGATTTGAGTGATTTTTAAATGCTATCAGAAAAAGCTATTACAACTTAAAAGCAATTAATTTTTAGCAATATTCAATTTTAGCCCTCACAGTACCCTGGCTAATAATGCCAAAATTAAATCCTTGCTAAAAATTCTGCTTATACGGTATTAGGTATTACATTTGTACAAAAGCAATGCTTTGTTGTCATGAATCAAAACAGCAGCAACAGTACACATTTCCTATCATAAATACATGTTATTTTGTTTATTTCACAGGCCTTGTTGGTAATTGTTTTATACACCATACTAAGGAACCCCTGTGTACAAGAGTGCCTTGGACCACAAAAGCGAGCCTACTCCATGTCGACTGAAAATCTACAGCAGAATGGTAGCCTACCAACAGATTTCCATCATCATACCTTTACAACAGAGATAGGCAGCCTGAAGGGCTCTACTGCCTCTGTAGTTAATGAGGTATGTACAACAGAAATAGGCAGCCTTAAGAATTCTACTGCCTCTGTAGTTAAGAAGTATGTACAACAGAAATAGGCAGTCTTAAGAGTTCTATTGCCTCTATAGTTAATTACAACAGAGATAGGCAGCCTTAAGGATTCTAATGCCTCTTTAGTTAATGAGATATGTGCTACAGATATAGGCAGTCTTACTTGTTCTTCTACCTCTGTAGTTAATGAGGTACATGTACGACAGAGAGTCTTATTAGGGCTATCACCCATTCTCAATATAAGGGCTCAAATAATGTCGCCTCATTTTCATTTAGAAGAAATACCACTGATGTAATTTTTAAATCAACATTATAAATAGTCATGTAACAATGAATAAGAATTCATATAATTATCGATCTGAAAGGGTATTTAAGGAGTTCCAAATTCAAATATAGTAGCCTATTTGAAATGTACATTACTGTCGCCGAGGCAAATATTATGCTGAATCCCCTCTGTGTAATATATAGTTTTGATTCTCAAGTAAAAATTTTCTGATAAGTTAAAACTTGTATCATATATATTTCTTTTCATAACAATAAATATATTTTCTTTGTGATAATAAACAATTTTTATTGTGCAATGTCCCTGTCGCTTAATTCTATTTCAACCACATTACAAGCAAACACAAAGATTATACACCTGATAGTTTTGTTCTCCTTTATTTATTGATGGGCTAAATTTGAAATTTCAAAGGATTAATTACTCCTACTCAGATAATGTAACATGAAATTGAACAATTTGACCAACTTTTATAAATATGTTTACGGAATGAAAGACATTTTCAATCGTAGAGATAAGAAAGAAATGTACGTTACCTATATTCTTCCATTAAGAATATATATTAAGTAGAAAATATGAGACGACTCTGAATAAGCAACCCCTTGTATCCTGTAAACTGGCAAAGACGTTTTGCTTAACACAATTAAAAATTATTTTTTACATGAAAAGTGATCATTTGAAATGTACGTGACTGAAATGTACGTTACCATGAAATTCGAATTAAGTGAATTTCGCACGAATTTTCATGTATTCTCATACTTTCACACACTCGAATGTGTACACAAAGGAAAGTTTCAAAGGTTGGAGGTCGGCTAAATCCCAAAATAAATGAAAAGAAACGTTTCTGCTGAGGAAAAAAAATATATTAAGGTCAATTATATGTAATATGATTTTGATACCTGGTATATATTTCTGAATACGAAACCTGTATGATGCATTTCTTATGATATGCAAGTTCAAATAGTATCAATATATTGCGTGTCTAACGTACGCTTGTGGAAGAGAATTGATTTTTATATTTGAAATGTACGTTACGTATGGTAACGTACATTTTGTGTATTTCTAACTGACATTTTTTTTTTAATTTAGTCAATGAATTGCGTTTACACGAGCGAAACAAAATTATCGTTACAATCCATTTGACAACTGACCACATAAATCCATCTAAATGCACCCCAATCCTCGTAAATGTGGTAGACTGTTACCACATGCTAGAAAATTTATTTCTAAGTGTCTTAAATTCATCTTTGGCAACCTTTTTGCAGTTTGTTTACTTTTAATATGCGACTTTTCGTCAATATTAATTTAATTGTTGTTGATAATTTAAAACAAGGTATGCATAGGCTTATAATTGGTAAAAAACAAAACAAAACAAAACAAAACAAAAAAAGAAAAAGAAACAAAACAAATAAACCCAGAACACAAGACGGTCACGTACATTTCAAATACTGAAAGGCACACAATACTCAGTTTTGTTTGAATCATTGCATTTGGGGTTATATTTTTCCAGATCTGCTGAAAAACATGTATGTTTGTGTTTTGACAAACGGTGTTGCAACATACTAAATGAAATTGTTAACAAGACTGTCGATGGATATATTTTGAATAGATTTATGTTAAGTTTCAATGGCCAAACACAAGCATTTGTTAGATCATAGCAAAATACGTCTGACTCTTATTTTTTTTTTCTGTCTGTACCCTTGCACACTGGTAGAAGTAACTAGGCTACAACCGGTGTCAATTTCAGCGAAACAGCACCAAAGAATGGTAATGAACTGAAGTGGAGGGGACTCCCCAATAATATGTGAAATGAACGTTACCGAAGTGACGTGACATTCATGTAGTTGATGACAAATAACCTCGTTTGTTACATTATGATTTCTTATATTACTGCGTTAAAACGCTTCATTGAAATGATTTTTATGTCAATAATTGCTTTTTTGCAATATTTTCTTATTACTAATTTACATATTATTACAAGCTTGAAATGTACGTTACCGACTCATATTCTGAGGCAATCGTGTCTTTATAGTGGTGATTGTGACATATAACACAATGTGATTACATAGAGAGTCTTTTTTGGAATAAACTGAAACAAAACGGTGAATTTTAAGTTGAATTTTAAGCTTTTTATTAAACAGAAATATGTCTTGAAATGTACGTTATATTTACGTAGTTTTCTAAATCGGAATGGATATATGTTACAAAAGAAGTAACTACAAAATAGAATTTTACTACATGTACATGTTTAGTTCCAGTATCTATAGAAAATGACAAGATTCCAAACTGATCGCTCTAAACAAAACAGAGAGAAGAATTTAAAGCATATATTTAGAAAATGTATTTATACATCTGGATCAAAAAGTAACCTTTGTTTTTTGAAAGGAAAAATCAAAGGCACGTTCGTATGCCGAGAAAATATGTTGCTGACAGAGTTGGTAGAATGTGCTGGTGTTAAGATGAAATATTCCAATTGTGATTTTAATGACTACATTTTTTTGACATATGTTTTTGGACATTGAAGAAAGAGTAACGTACATTTCAAGCTACATTTCTGAATAAAATCACCCTCTACTTTACCGTCTTGTCATTATTCCATGTATTAAAATTTGATGAAAAAAATCTGGAAACAAAATCTTCAGATACTTTCTTTCCAAGGTAATTGATAGAAAAATTGTTATCTTGAACTTCATTTTTTAAAAAATCAGAGAGGCATTTGTGCCCTTATATTGAGAATGGGTGTATACACCTCTAGTAAATTAGACAAACTAAGTGCACCTATTAAGTAAAACTCTTTTAGAACAAAAATGGATATAGCGAATTGCGGATATAGCAAAGTTTTTCAGAGCAATGTACATACAGTGTATTGCGAATTTGCTATTATATAAATATAACCCTTTTTTGAGATCGATCCATATATATAGATATATTGACTTCACAGAAAAGCGTATCAACTGAGCATGAAGTAAAAATAATGTATTTAAATACACAAATTCAGACCAGCGCGCAGTCACAGTATTACAAAAGCTATTCTTCCAAGAAATACATGAGTAAATTGTCAAATTCCTACTTTTAATAGTTTTACAGATATTAAGTGTGGCAGACAGATGACAAACAGACAGACATCAGACAAAGTGATCCCTGTTTGTTGCTTTGCTCTGCAGGCAACAAAAATATAACCTTAACACTTGGCTTTTTAGTTAATGAGATAAATATACAGTCAAACCTTTTTATATTGTTATGGGACTAAGAAAAACTTTTGAGATACCCAAGGATTCAAGATATCAGGGGAAAAATCCTGTATTTGGGATTTCTATATCACTTTAACATGGTGTTCAAGATTTCAGTGGTTGAGATACTTCAGTTCAAATGAAACTAAAAAAAAAGGCAATAAGCTTCTGTTGATGAAGTCCATGTACAACTGTATAACTGGAAAAAAATGCATGGCCTGAAAGGTCCTGCTGGCTTTTGTAGTTAATGAAATGGATACCGGTATATGTCAACTTAAAAAAAACCAAGGAAATTCTCTCTATTGGTGCTAATTAGGAATAATGTAGATGACGTGAAAAATATTAAAAACTGGCTGCAGGATGTCTTTGTGGATTGAGTTAGAAAACGTACATACTGTAAATGCTCAAATGTTCCTGGGGGATTAAACTTTATTTCGTTGTTAACAATTATCACCGAAATTAAATCCTAGACAAAATTTTTTGTGACTTTATATTGAATAGGGTAATACCTTCAAAACAATGAAATTAAATGCCCTCGAAACTATTTAAACTGACCAATCAATGAAATTTTATCCCCCGAATATTAGTGTATCTACAGTATCTCAATTTCATTGATTTAATACATCAAACTGAAATTAAAATGAATTTTAAGCTTTACATTTTGTATCTTTCCAGGAGTGGGAGAGAGATTCTACATTACCATCTAAATCTACCACAATGAAAGTGAAAAGAACACTGCCCTCTAGTGGCAATATTTACGTGACACCGCCAGTGTTGGTCCGTGACGGAACAGATGATTTCCAGGACCTCCTACACGCATTAAAAACACAGGAAAGCTCTAGTGATGCAGACAGTTTGGAGTCAGAAAAGATCTCCGAAATCTCAAGCAAAGTAGACCGATATGAAATGCGAAGGATATCAATAGCAGATACTCATTTATGATAAAAGACATACAACATGATAATCAAAAGATGAACATATGATGGTCTATTTTTCAATGCATGTTCATCAAGAAATCATTGATCCCAGTGATTTATAAAATATATAGATATGTATATGCTGTTAGATGTTGTATATTTAATTTTTAAATGCGTACTTTACATTTAATTATTTTATTTTGTGTATTTAAATTGAATTTTGATCTCAATGTTAATTATGTAAAACATACCAAATCATGAAGTTTTTCAATTATACAAAATGCATGCTCTCATAGAACATA